CATTGGTACATGTTAAATAGTACTAGTATGAAAACCAAACACCCCCTCCAAGAATTGGAAGTACAACATGAATGTGACGAATCATGGAAGCAATAAAGATCTTAAATAGCCGTCAAAAAAATAAAAAATTCATTCAAAGCTTTCAATAAAATATATAAATTTCGAGTTGGGAATCCTTTATAACACAATCTATACACAAAGTGGCCCTACCACCTCACACCAATGTGTGCCGGTGAAGGTGTAATCACAATGCCACAATCTCTACACAAAGAGACCCCGGCGGCTCACCCCAAAGTGTGCGGGTGGAGGTGTAATCACAATCAAAACTTCTACACAAAGTTGCCCCGGCGCCTCACCCCAATGTGTGCGGGTGGAGGTGTAATTACAATCACAATCTCTACACAAAACGGCCCTGCCGCCTCACCCCAATGTGTGCGAGTGGAGGTGTAATCACAATCACAATCTCTACTCAAAGTGACCCTGCCACCTCACCCCAATGTGTGCGGGTGGAGCTGTAATCAAAATACCACAATTAGGATTCACAAAATGATAATAGTTTGTTCAAAAGATTTCTTTTCAAATCAAACCATTTGGCACCTTTGGCCTTAACAAGTATAAGTTCATAAGATTTCATTATATGAGAAATGAGAATTTGATCACATTGATTTCGTACAATATTTTCTTCCCAAAAAGTGTATAACATAATTAAGTCAAAATAGAGAATCATTAACACCCGAGGGTTCTGACACGTTATGCAACTTGAGAATCAATTTACTATTTTGAATATCCCATCTCAATAGTGTTTCAAGTTTGAACTACACATGATAGAGTATTGTAAAAATACGGGAAATCTGATAATACAAGAAGAGTTTAGCCTTCATACCTTGAAAGGGCTTTTCGTGGTGTAACAATAACGTCCTGGCACTCCTAATGATGCCAATCTGTAGAAGAGGGGAGAATTTACAAGCACGATTAGAAGAATTCGTATGGAAAAAGCTGCTACAATGACAACTCAACCTTTCCTTAACCAATTCGACAACAAAACCACCCAAGATTGTCCAACAACTTCCCCACAATCCTTATTAGCTCGTGCATGTGATATGTCTATGCTCATTACCCATAACCAACCCAAAAGCCAAAATTGGAGAATTGTGGGAAGAAATTCTTACCTTTTAGAAACCCTAGCAAGTTCCTCTTGATGAAATTCCAAGTGTTGATCCAATTTGAGTAGTGAAATCTTTGAATCCTCCCATTTCTCTCTCTAGAATAGCTCTCTCCTCTCTATAAAATACCAGATAACCCCTCAAAAATTACCCCTAAGGCTAGATAAAATGAAATGGGGTCGGGTTATAAAATTAGAAAAAATAAAGTCCCGATGCAGATATGCCATCGCATATGCGATTGCATAACACTCATACGATCCGCCAAATGGACCGCATAATGGTCCTCCGGAACTGGGCACTTCTGTTTAGGTATACGACAGGTATGCAGTCCGCAAATCAATTATGTGGTCGCATAATGGACCGCGATCATTCTTTCGAAATTCCTCATACTGGTTCTGCGACGGATGTGCGGGCGCGAAGCGATTATGCGGTCACATAGTTGGCCGCAAAATAAGATCCAAATTTTGCCCATTTCTCTGCTTCACTCTGCGGCAGATTTGCGCTCCGAAGATCAATTCTGTGGTCACACAAAGGACCACAGAAATGCCCTGTTCTGTAATAATTTTTCTTCAACTCCCCAAGACTATTCAACCCATAAAGTCCGTACCGCGACACCATGAAAACCTGGGTTTTAGGTGAAATTTTATGGGGCCTTATAGCGGGAGGCCAAGAGGCCCCGTGGTTTTGGTGGTGCCTCGTCTGGAGGCCACTCACATCACAATAAAGGTTGTCCTTTTAGAACGCTCTAACATATTGTCAAATTCCTCGTGGTTCATCAATTAGCTACAATTCATGCAGTGCTTTCCCTATTCAGTCATTATTTAGTGCACTAGCGTCATAGAGTTCTTACCATGCTCCTTTTGCTTAGGGTTCCACAGGTAGTTATTCGAGTTATCTGGGTCAGCAGCATCGTCAGAGGAAGGTTGTTTCGAGTGCGCAGACTTGAGTCATCTTAAAATGGATTTTCCCAAATATCTGAGTAGAGTCCCACAGTAGAGCACGCAACCTATGGTTTCAGCACCATTATCTACACTACCCACAAACCAGCTAGGGGTAGGGCTCAGTCAGTTTGAGGTAGCCCTAGAGGGGGAGGTTAGTCACGTGTTGGACATGCCGATTACTATGCACTTCCAATTAGGCAGAGGTGGTTGCTTCTGAAGGCATGATCACATGCGTTGTTTCAGTGTGCCACATGGATGCTTCAGTGTTATTTGACCCTGGTTCCACTTACTCTTATGTGTCATCGTATTTTACTCGTTATTTGCATATGCCTCGTGATTCTTTTGATATATATGTTCATGTATCTACACAAGTAGATGATTCTTTATGGTGGATCGTGTATATGAGTCGTATGTGGTTGCCATTGGGGGTTATGAAACTAGAGCCGAGCTTTTATTACTTAGTATGGTTGATTTTGAGGTGATTTTGGTTATGGATTGGCTATCTCCGTACCATGTTATCCTTCATTGGAGTGGAGAGGTTTGCTTGGTCGCACTGCCAGTAGAGGGATTTTATACTTGAAGACTCAATGGATTGGTGAGAAGGGGTGTTTGACGTATTTCACCTTTATGAGAGATGTTGGTGCTAATACTCCTACTGTTGAGTAGGTTCCAGTAGTGATGGAGTTCTCAAATCTGTTTCTTGCAAACCGACGGGGCATGCCACCTGATAGGGATATTGATTTGGTGTCGGGTACTCAACCCATTTCTATTCCACCATATCGCATGGCACCAGCAGAGTTGTAGGAATTTAAGGAGCAGTTACAAGAATTGCTTGATAAGGGTTTCATCAGGCCTAGTGTGTCACATGGGGTGCACTACTGCTATTTGTGAAGAAAAAAGATGGTTCTATGGGGATGTGCATTGACTATAATTATTTGAATAATGTTAATCTTAAGAATAAATATCCACTACCGCGTATTGATGATTTATTTAATCAGCTTTAGGGAGCGAGGGTATTTTCAAAGATTGACTTGAGATCGGGTACTATCAGTTGAAGATCAGGGCTTCTGATATTCCTAAGACAGCTTTCAAGACCCGTTATGGCCACTATGAGTTCTTGGTGATTTCTTTTGGGCTGACTAGTGCCCAAAAACTTTCATGCGCTTGATGAACAATATATTTCAGCCTTATCTGGATTCCTTCGTCATAGTTTTCATTGATGAGGTATTTGTGTATTCTTGCACCCATGAGGAGCATGAGCAACACTTGAGGATTGTGCTCCATACTTTGATGGAGAAAAAGCAATATGCTAAATTCTCCAAGTTTGATTTTTAGTTAGACTCGGTGGAATTCTTGGGCCACGTGGTGTCCAATGAGGGGATTAAGGTGGATCCAAAGAAGATTGAGGCAGTTTAGAGTTGGCCCTGACCATCTACTTCTACTGAGATCCAGAGTTTTCTTGGGTTGGCTGGGTATTATCGTCGTTTTGTAGAGGAGTTTTCATCTATAGTAGCTCCATTACCAAGATTGACGCAATAGGGTGCCCCATTCAGGTGGTGTGATGAATGTTAGGAGAGCTTTTAGAAGCTCAAGACTACCTTGACTATAGCTCCAGCTCTGGTTTTGCCTCCGGGATCAGGCTTTTACACTCTATTGTGATGCTTCACGGATTGGCATTATGTGCGTGTTGATGCAGGAGGGAAAAGCGATTGCTTATGCTTCACGTTAGTTGAAGACCTATGTGAAGAACTACCAGTACACGATGCGGAGTTAGCAGCTGTTCACGTGCTCAAGATTTTGAGGCATTATCTTTACGGCGTGTCTTGCGAGGTGTTCACGAATCACAAGAGTCTCCAGTACTTATTAAAGCAAAAGGATTTGAACTTTAGGCAACGAAGGTGGTTAGAGATACTAAAGGAGTATGATATCACCATTCTTTTATCATCCGGGGAAGGCCAATATGCTTTCAGTGTTGATGACCAAATTTGTCCCTCCCTTTTTAAATTAAATTGTTTACACTTATTGGTCATCAATAAATCTAGTGAAGTATTTTTAAAATTAATAATACCTATTATCTCAAAATATAAATAATGTAATAAGCAATAATAAGCATAATAATAGTTAATAATATTAATTTTATAATCAATAATAATCTAGTATTAAATATTTATAATTATATTACTTCTACTACTTTAATTAATTAAAACATGCTTTCATAATTTTATAAAAAAGTAATAGAATTATTTTCATCTAAAAATTTATAATTATATTACCTCTCTTACTTTAATTAACCAAACAGTTAGTTTTTATAATTTAATAGACGAGTACAATAATTTTAGTCATTTAAATCTAACTAATACAGTAACTAATAATACATTTGTTAATTTGTATTTTATTACAATTTATTGCGATTAATTAAGTCTAATTAATTTAATTTTAAAAAGGGGAAAAAACTTTAGATGGGCTACATTTACATTTGACTAGTTTAATTCAAATGGTCATGTATTAAATTAATTTCCAGCCTACTACCAAGGAATTTGGCCCAAGACACCATCCCAGCACCCTGATCCTGTCTGACAACCTCCATCCCTATCCCAATTGGCGATCCACGCCACATACCTTTGACCAATCACCTCACGACACATCACACCCTCCAATTACTCACAGAGAAAGCACATTTCATCTGGACCGTTGATCCAGATCATCGTATGTCCACAATTAATCCTAATTTCTCTTTATTTTATTATACCTCTAGTGTTTTATCTCGGCCGTTGGATTTAAATTATCCAACGGTCCCAATTTTATCCCATTTAAACCTTTTCTTTTCCTTTTATCCCAAAAAATTTAGAGCCATAGATCAAAGTGATCCAACATCTCTCATGCCATCTCTCATCTTAACTACCTAATTCCCCCAAAACCCCACTCATTCTTTAGAGACCAACCTCCTTTGTTTCCTTTCCTCTCTCTTTTCTTTTTTCTCCATAGAGCATCAATCAGTGAGACACTCAAAATCGAAACAAAATATTCATCTTCCAACCGATAATATCACTGAGATTTCCTTCTCTGTCACTCAATTTGAATCCCAAACCTTGAAACCCTAAGACCAAAATGTACAAGCGAGAGTATTATCCTTTCTTCTCCTGCTCATTCAAATCAACACATGCAAGTTGTTGATTCATGAGAATCTTGACCATATTATGATGATTCATGGTCCGATGATCCTTTGGTTCCAACGACCGATTTCCTTTACCATTTTCGTGACAAGGTAACTTCTTTATGATTATTCCCATGTGTTTTCCCATCTTTTCTACCTTTTGCACTCATCAGTAACTCAATCGTCATCCTTTCAAATTCAAACGAACCCTAAGGCTCCAATGACCACTATTAATATGAGCTTTTAATGCTCTCACAAAACACACAGACAAACACTTAGAACAAGACGAACTACATAAGGAGCTTAATAAATACTACATGTTAAATACTTTGAGTTTCTTCTCTAATTTTTTCTCTCTTTTTTCTGCTCGAGTTCGACTACTGCGAGTTGATTGGGAGATCAAGCTCCTAAATGTCTAGTGATTGCCTCTACTTGGTTTGCTGCTCCGAAGAAGGTAAACCACTGACCCCCGTCTCTAATTTATTCAATTAATCATGTAGTATCATGTTGTTCTACTTATGTGATATTTTCTATTGATTACTTGCTCATTTTTTTCATGAGTTACCTAAGTAAACATGCGACTCTTGTTGTGTTCTGTTGCTTATGTTGCTCTTTACTGATGCTTCATGTTTGTTGTTAAGTTTACCCCCATGTTGTTGTTTACATCAACATCTCATAGTGATCATAGAGTTTTGTTTCTTAAAACTGATGTTACCATTAAGTGTATCTCTTGACTAATTGTGTTGAATGTTATTGTGGGATTAATCCTCTTAGCTCCTTATGTTGATTTGAGTTGATTAATCTCTCTGATGGCAGCTATGTCTAGCCAATGCTACTGCACTGTTGATTGGGGTTACGCTTAGTACGTTGTATACTTGTGCTCACATTATCATGTTGATTAAAGCTAATTAAATGATGTTCCTAAAATCTTTCATGCCATCTTGTTTAACTAGTTGAAGTCTCCATCAACATGTTGTCTTGTCAAATTGTCTTCGTGCTTGTAGTACTATGCTCTTTTGTTCAGTTAATTAAATGAAATCTATTGATGGCCTTGCACACATCATCACGTTGACTTGATTCCAATTAATGGTCTTGTTATGACACTATGTCATTTTGTTTAGCGAAGCCTATGTATTTTTACTATTTTAATATGAAATAAGAGGGGGGTACATGAAGAAATCATGCTAGTGTGATCAGCTTTAGAGACCAATAAGTGATCATGTTTGCCTAAATTGCAATCAGATGCTTGTCCCTTTTTGGGTTAGCTGTATGCTTCTTGTTGTCTAATGATTATTTGATGTCTAAGAAGTTCTTCAATGATATAATCTAAGTTTTATTGATTCAGATGGTTTAGAAGTTCTAATTGAATGTTGTTAGATATCATTCCTATAGGAACTAGATGATTAAACGATAAGTTGAACCTCCTATTCATGCCAAATTGTCCCTGTAGTCCTAACTGGTTGGTATAACCCCCTTGTAAATTCTAAGGTGTGAACATGAGTTCTTAAGGTAGTATAATCCCTAACCCCCTATGTTTTTTGCCTGTTATGGAAAGGACTATTCTATAATGATGTTCTACAACCTGCTTTGGTGATGTAAGCTTACCTTGAGAAAGTTCTGTTTAACTGGACCTTTTATGAAGTGTTGAACCTCTGATAAGGTTAGTAATGAGTCCATGTGTTTGTTAGCTGCTAATGCCTTAAGCCACTTAGGGTGGCATTATTGAATGATGAAATTGGTAGTAGCATGGAGGGAATGACTATAGAGGTATATCGTTGATCATATGTAATGGCCCTTTCTTGATTATGTATGTGGTTCTAAGGATATTATTTAAGTGTTGTGTTCCATTGAATGTTTTAGATTCAACCTTTAAACCTTTTGAAATTGTTAAAGGATTATGAGAACTTACATGTACTAATAGCATGTTGTTTGATAAATGATCAAAATTTTGAAATTCTAACATGTAATGGTTCTTGGCTGTTTTGTCCTATGGTGATGAATTCAATTCCTAATGTGCTATTTTCCTAAGTTGTTAGTATTTTTGTATGATTGAGTTTCTGGAGTATATTCAGATGGTTTGAGACACTATATTGAATTGCTCTGATTCTGCTAGTTTGTTCTATATTAATTGTGTGAACTTCTAGGGTACATGTTTGATTAAATGTTAGGTTGAGATCTCATTTGTGCCTATACCACTGAAGAGGAGTGAGGTTCAATACTTAAGGCTGGTTGTGTGGGCTTGACATTATGGTTGAGGAACCCCTCTCTAGCACAAGCACTGCTTGGGATCCAAGAGACCCTCGTAAACTCTAATGTGTCAGGGGTTCATAGGGGAGCCTCATAAGTAAATATGGTTCACCCTAGGCCTATGAGTACAGAACATAATTAATCTTCATGGGATTAGCATAAATGACACTGGGCTTTACTATATCTCTTCAAATCTTGTCCATATTTATTATAAATTAATCTCACTTTACACTTTATTTGTATATGTAAATTAGTTATCCCTATTTTCTTTGCATTAATCACTGGGCATGCCGAGTTCATCAAGAACTCAGACCCAAGTTCAAGGAAGTGGCCGCTTCCTTGTCACCAGTTGAAGTCCATTGATGTCACGACCCAATTCTCACTATAGGTCGTGATGGTGCCCAACGTCGCCGTGCGACAAGCCAAAAGTGAACTATCCATTTAATTGTTCACATTATTTCTTTTAATATCATGAATATTATTTAATAGAGTACAACCAAGTATAAAAGGACATGGTTATATAAGGCATAAAATAAATATGAGGAGTGAAACGGTAATATCAATAGACAAAACTATGCACATCTACTAAAAATTTCCAGAACGCGGTATCACAAGTGCACGAGCAATCTAGTAGAATATAGAAAATCCCCTACAACTACTGTGTGAAGTGAAATAAACAGAAATAATAATTACAACTAGAGGAGGCTTTGGGTGCTGCAGAACGGAGCATGGAAAGCAGCTCATCACTAGGCCTTCGGATGCGGGTACGCGCTTGGACGGACACCAAATGTACCTGCCTTAGTACCTACACTTTGTGCAGAAGTGTAGCGCGATTACGTAAAATAATGCGTACCCAGTAAGTATCTAATCTAACCTCGAAGAAGTAGTGACGAGGGATCGACATCGACACTTAATAGAGGTAAATAAATAAAGTGCAAGAATTATAAATAGGCAGGAAATATAACAGTAATAATGGAATAAGATGCATTAAATAAATAATTCATTAGCAAAATATCAATTTAAAACCCAAAAATATCACATGCCAATTTCAACAAATATACGCCATCAAGTATTTATTAATTCTCAAGTCATAAAGGGAATATCACGTACAATCGGACTCCTAGTGAGATCCCACACGAGTTTTGCCGAGGTCGTACGGCCTAATCCATAATAATCCTGTATATACACAACCGAGGTTGTACGGCCCGATCCATGGATGCATCTCATTGTATATAAATATTGCCTAGGCGTTCAGCACGATCCACAGTAATTGTGAAACTCTTCGGAATATGGAACATATGTTCAAAACACAGAGATAAGCACATAAAGGAATGTATTTTTTTTTAATATTTGAATATTCCATCAAAACTCAAGTAACTAAACTCGGTCTAATATAATCTTTAATCAAGATTAACATATTAATACAAGTAATAAACTAACAAGTTGTGTTCAAATAGTACATGTATTGCACAATAAAGTCCTATGTCTACTCGGACATAACATGATTTTTAACTACGTACAGACTCCAGTCACTTCAAGCGTATGTAGCACCCGCAAATTATTAGCAAATAACAATTTAAACACATATAGGGTTAGTTCCCTCTTACGAGGTTAGGCGAGAGATTTACCTCGTTTCCAAGCCCTTTTCCCAGTCCTCAAATGACATTAATAGCCTCAAATATGTGTCGAGCAATCCGAAAGTAGCATAAAGTCGTACAAACTAATCAATATGTGCACAAAAGTGCATAATTCATCTACTAGAGTAATTACCCAACCCAATTTGGAAAATTCCTAAAAGTCACCCCCGGGACCCAGGAGCATAGATTTTGGAATTTTTTTTAGATAAATATTACCCATAACCTTACGAACTAAAATATGTAATTCCTACTCAATTCCATAATCATTTTTATTGTCTAATCTCATTTTACCAAAACTTGTGTTTTTTCAACAAAATCCAACAATTTTCACATTGTACATGTTAAAATCTACCCATAATCTATATTTTAAACTCACATTCAATAAAAATCACTTACCTTAAAAAGCTAGGTGAAAAATCCCTCTCAAAGAGCTCCAAATTCGGCCAAACCAAAGTGAAATGAGAGAAAATGAGCTTAAGTCATGATTTAAACATGTTTCTGCCCAATGGTCCCTTCATCGTGATCGCGAAGGCAAAACTGCTCCTCGCCCAAAAGGCTTCTTCGCGAACGAGGTCAGAGCCTCGTGATTGTGAAGGCTAGCCTAGCCATAACTACGCGAACATGGCCGGCAGTTCGCGAACGCAAAGGGCAAAGGCCACTGGTCCCCCAGACCTTGTCCCTTATTCGCGAACGAGGTACCGTCATCGTGAACGCCAAGGCCACTGGTCCCCGGCCTTCACAAACGCGACCCTTACTTTGCAAACGCGAAGAGAAAAATTACCCAGCCCCCAAATCTTTCATCGCAAACGCGAGGGGACTTCTGTGTTCACGAAGAAGGAAACCAACACTAGAAATTTCTGCAGTTTGTAGTTACCTTCGGGTGGTCCGACACACACCCGAGCAACCCAGGACCCCGTCTTGCTACACCGTAAAGTTCATAAACATAATATAGACCTGCTTGAGGTCTTGGAACACAATAACAACATAAAAACTAAGAACCGCACCTTGAAACAAAATTAATAAACTTATGAACTTCAAACTTCTTCAACTAGCTCTGAATGCGACGAATCACACATAGACAACTCGGAATGACGTCAAATTTTGCGTACAAGTCATAGATCACCATAAGAACCTATTCTCAGGCTTGGAATCCCAAACAGACATCAATATCACCAAAGTCTACTTCAAACCAAATATAAGAAACACTAAAACCTTCAAGGCGCCAACTTTTAACATTATGGCCGAATTGCTCCCAGATCACCCGAAACACGATCCGAACACACGCCCAAGTCCAAAATCATCATACAAACCTATTGGAAAAATTAAATTCTTGTTCCATGGTCGTTTACTCAAAATGTTCACTCAAGTCACACTTGGCCACCATAGGCCACTATTAAGGAACTAATTGTTCCGATTTCAACCTTAACCGTTAAATAACCAAACCAACCATCCCTGCTTTTCACGAAATAGTAAAAGCACATATAGGGAGTCTTAAATAGGGGTACGAGGATCTAGAAAGCATAACTACCAGTCGGGTCATTACATTTTCCACCTCTTAAACAAACATTTGAACGGGCCTAGGATCATACCTAGAGTGTTGAATAAGTGTGGATATCTGTTTGGCATTACCTCCTCGGTCTCCAATCTCGCCTCCTCAATTGGTTGGCCCCTCCACTGGACCTTTAACGCTGCAATCTTCCTAGGCCTCAACTGGCAAACGTTCTGTCCACAATAGCAACTATACCCTCCTCATAACCTAATGTCTCGTCTAGCTAAACTCTATTGTAATCTAACACGTGGCCTGTCGGCATGGTACTTCTGAAGCATAGACACATGGAAACCTGGATGGCCTCCCGATAACACTCGCCTCAATATCTCAAATAGGCCTATAAACCTCGTACTCAGTTTGCCTTTTTCCGAATCTCATGATACCCTTCATCAGCGAGACTTTCAGGAGAAATTTCTCGCACACCGTAAATGACAAGTCATCATGCACTTTTTGATATGCATAACTCTTTTGTTCTTACTGTGTTGTGCGAAGTCGCTCCTGAATCAAACTTACCTTATCCAAGGCATCCTTTACCAAATCAATGCAATATAACCTAACCTCATCGGACTCGAACCGACCGATGGGGGAACGACATCGCCGACCATACAAAGCCTCAAATCGAGCCATCTCTATGCTAGGCTGATAACTATTGTTATACGAAATTTCGGACAACGGTAAGAATCGATCCCACTGCCCTCCAGAGTCAATGAAACACGCTCTGAGTATGTCCTCCAGAATCTTAAATGTCCGCTCCGACTGCCCATCGATCTGCGGATGAAAAGATGTGCCGAGCTCTACCTAGGTACCCAACTCACTCTGTACTGCTCTCCAGAAATGGGAAGTGAATGGAGGGCCTCTATCTAAAAAGATGGTGATAGGCACACCATGCCACCAGACGATCTCCTAAATATAAATCTGAGCCAATCTCTCTGAAGAGTAGGTAGTCACAACTAGAATAAAGTGTGCCGACTGGGTCAGACTGACGACAATGACCCAAACAACATCAAATTACCTCAACATCTACGCTAACCCAACTATGAAGTCTATAGTGATGCACTCCCATTTCCATTCAGGTATAACCATCTGTTGAAGTAGGCCACCTGGCCTCTGGTCCCCATACTTAACCTGGTAGAAATTTAGGCATCTTGCCACATACTCAACTACGTCCTTCTTCATCCGTTGTCTACAGAAATGTTGCCTTAGTCACGATACATCTTTATAGCACCTAGATAAATAGAATACCATGTGAGCCTCAACTAGAATTGTCTCTCTCAAGCCATCAACATTAAGAACACATTTGCGACCCTGGAGTCACAGAAAACCATCATCACCGATAGTAATCTCTTTGTCACCACCCCATAGCCTCGTCTCTCTAAGAAGCAGCAAGTGCGGATCATCGTACTGTCGCGCCTTGATCAGCTCATAATGAAGACTGAGCCACGACACATGCAAGAACTCGACTTGGCTCTGAAATATCCAACTTCATATGTTTGTTAGCTAAGGGCTTAATCTCCACAGCCAATGGCCTATCCTGTGTTAAAATGAATGCCAAACTACCCATACTCTCGGCCTTTCAGCTCAAGGCATCCGCAACCACATTTGCCTTTCCCGGATGATAAAGGATTGCAATATCATAATCCTTCAATAACTCAAGCCTCCTGCGCTGCCTCAGATTAAGATCCCTCTACTTAAACATACGCTACAAACTGTAGCGATTTGTGTAGACCTCGCCCGACACCCCATAAAGATAATGCCTCCAAGAGCATGAACTATTACAGCCAGCTCCAAATAATGAACATTGTAATTCTTCTTATGGGCTTTAGCTGACGTGAAGCATATGCAATAACTCGCCCCTCCTACATCAATACACAACCCAAGACAAGGCATGAAGCATCGCAATACACAGTATACATCCTAAATTGGAGGGTAAAACTAACACCGGTGTTGTAGTCAATGTGGTCTTGAGCTTCTGGAAGCTTGCCTACCTATCATCGGACCATCTCAATGGAGCGCCCTTCTAGGTCAATCTAGTTGAAGGAGATGTAATAGAAAGGAAGCCCTCCACAAACAGATGGTA